CCACCGCACCCGACAATGGTGGTCGCTTGACATTTTGCTTCGAATTATTGCCCGCCTGGCCGGCGCGCGGCGGTCCTTTCTATTTCGGCTGCGAGATCGCGAGCGGAGGCCAGCTCGTTTCTACGCCCGCACGACAACACGCTTTTGTGTTTCGTTTTTGTTTTTTTATTCTTTTTTTTTTGCATTTGTTTGTTTTCGCCATCATCCAGACGGGTCTTTGTTGCGCCGTGCGCGGTATCCGCTTCGAATTCGGCGGCTGTCCCCGTCCTGCCCCGCCCGTGGATTTACACAGTTTCTCTCTGACTCGCTGGCGGGACAGGGCAGAAGGATTCAGCGATGTCGGCGATATGCTTGTGGCCACACCACAATCATCCCGATTCCAGTCTCTTGTTTCACAAAATTCACAGTTATCCGTCTGGATGGATCCAAGAGTTCTTGAACTAAGAATCACGGGGTATTCGAATCATCGATGCGTGTGAGAAAACTACGCCCGGAGAATCGAAGCATATGCGCGGCCCTTAGAAAAATGCGATCGTCAACGGTGAAAATCGTTTAGCGACGGCTGGTTGAGACCGAAACACCGGTGGCAGGGATCAATCGTGAGACCGATGTAAGCTGCGTGTTCGCAGTCAAGTTACATAATCGCGACGAAGCACCGTGGCTAATCGAGGAATCGGGGTGAGACCGGGGGTCTATTCGGGGGTTGATCGAGGTTGATCTTTCCGGGTGATCTGAAAATCTTGTTGCTTTGAAATACAACAATCTTTATTTTTCCATTTTTTTTTTTTAAATATATCTTTGCATCTTGAGTAGTTCAAATTCGTCGACAAATCAACTCGATTATAGAAGTATCTACACAATTTAACCCTTTGCACTCCACTGGCGCCGTTGCTACGCCACCACAGAATACAAGTCAGTTGTGTTTATTACAATGCAAACTAAATACTAACGAATGGAATTTAAATTTTGTAAATCTTATATATCGTTATTGGGATATGCAACACTTACACGTTTCAGAAGAGACGCGACAAAGATACGTTTAGGTTTCTAAACATTTACAGTAAAAGTGTCTTGGAGTGTAAAGGGTTCAAGAAAACAGAACTTTGAAACTGTTTCTAGTAAGAAGCAGTATCGAAATGGAAAGTCGATGAGGATGGGGCTGACTCATAATTTTATAAGGTTCGTTCAAGCGAGAAGTCGATACACAGTCGAAGGGAAATGCATCCGGTGATCGACGTCCCGGTAGCGAGCCGCCGCCGCCGAAGACGTGACTCGTCTGGGCGAGAATCAGGCAAATCGTGGGCTTAATGTCTCGGAACGGACGCCATATTAGCATACCCGCGTCCAATCGTCGCCCACGTGGCTGGGGCGCGCCGTGGCGAATCGGCCCGGGAAGCTATATATGACATTGTCATTATTTCACTGACAGAACAAGCATGCGCGCGATTCTCCACGGAGAAGTATCGCTAACAAGGGTGGGAAGTGCCCGGCCGTTCTGATCGCGACTGAAGGGCGATATGGCCGGACGATGCTCCTTTTAAATCGAACCCACCGAACATAATGGTCTGGAGATCTCTTTCAGGTCCACTTTCAGCCCCCCTCCCCTCGCTGTACCGTGTTCTCTTTGAATCATTCAACGATTATCGATTCAGGAATTGAGTTTCTCGTTTGAACATTTCGAATAATATTTCGAAGAACATCCTGAGATCCACTCTGTACATAACGACGTATCGTTAGACGTTCGAATTACGTAGTTTCAATAAAGGATCTGGGGACTAGAAAATTTTCTAGAAATTCAATATCATGACACAAGGAAACTAGGGTGACGATAATAAGAGAGAACTGTGAAGGAAACGGAAGCGTCGAGAGACGGATCTACTCGTTAAAAGAAACAGGGGAGACGGGCGAAGGCACAGAGGGGGATCATGATGAGAATTTCCAAGGGAGGAGGGGGTCCTCCTAGTTTTATAAGGGATACACAACTACTCCCCGGATCCCGTGGCTGCCTCGTGTTATTTATCTTTATGGACCCCGGGCAGAGGGTAACTACACTTACCGACCCGGGGCAAGGGGGGTTAAGGGGCAGAGTTAAGCCTGGACAAGGGCGGTAAGAGATTGTTTGTCGTATTGGCTGCGGTTTCGACGGGCTTAACGTTACCCGTTTAAGGGGATTTCTCTGTGGTTTTTCTCTCTCGGGAGAGAGACCGATAGCCTCCTCCTCCTCGGATAGTCTTCGGGGAGAGTCCTTCCGGTTCGATGTTCGATTCAACAAGTCGATGGTCTCGTATCCGGTCGCGATACTTCGGAACATTCCGAGTTTCTCATCTTTTTTCGTTATTTTACGCCACCTTACTACGCGTACCGCGAGAACGATCGATTGATTTCTTTAAGGCGGGAGCCAAATGGAATCTCGTTTCCATCATGGTCGTAACTTTTAAGAAAAATCATCTCCAGGAGGCTGGGGGAAGTGTTTTACGAGCGATCGTTTTATTAGCAGACCTACGATCGATTCAGGTTGCTCGCGGGAGACCACGGGAGCCGGTCGAGTGGCCAGAAATTAATCTATCGCCGTGTAATCGGCTTTTGATGATACAGAGACAATCGAACAACGAGCAGCGAACAGTCACGTAACAAAAAACAGGGAAGTCGTAATACCGCTTGTCCAGCAAAAGAGTTATTACTGTAACGAGTTCGCGTAGAATTGTGTTCTCACGCCCGAGAGCGAAGAAAAAGGAGATTGTATACCGAAAAAATAGAACGGAATCACGGGGTTGTGGTTCGACGGTGTTTCATAGTATACTTCAGACGGATATACTCGTTTTTTTTTATTCGTTAACAATGATTCCGGGTACATACAGTGCCTATGTACAGAGAGTGATATTTACATCGAGCCGATACAGAACGCGACGATACGTCGCGGATAAATAATTCTTACAAAAAACGAAACAGAAAAACGATTTGTCCTTATGTCCTAAGATGACGGTGTCATTTACAATTTTCGGCCTTACATCGTAAAACTGGAACAACAATCGCACGGACCGCGGTAACCTAATGATCGTTACAAGATCTGTTACGTGATAACGTTGAATACCACAAGAGAGCATAACTATTGCGTGGCCGTTTTACGATACTAAAAGGATATCCTCCTTTTCTCGTTCGATCGACGAGAAGTGTATATACACACACTACTGGTAATTATTGCTGTACAGAATACTGTAGTTCTCCATTTTCTTTTAATTCTACAACTTATCGACAGGTCGTGGATCGTATCGCAATGAATCCCCCAATCATACCGTATACTCTGCAAATTTGCCCCAAAAATAACATCGTATTTTTTACTATTCCATTTCACGATCTCTCGATACTCAACCAATCTGAAAACGATTCCCGCAGGTGCGAGAAAACGTACACACCGTCGAGAACAGCGTCGAAATAAGCAGACATCAAGCCCGTGAACGGAGGTGGTGATAAGTCAAGCAATTCGGCGACAATATTAAGCTACTCCGGTCGACAGGTTAACCCTATGTTAAGCCGTACGTCGACGGGGATCGCAGGGGGGTGGTGGCGACAGGGACGGCGGGGGTGGAGTCCAAGGGGTGGTGAGAGGGAGATTGGTGGCTGGAGGTCGCGTGTATTTAAAACGCGAATGCGCGCCAGCCGATTCACTGTTTGAAGTTAAATGGAGTGTAAATGGCAGATAACAAACCGGCACTGTTTCCGATTACGGCATTCATTGTTTCCTACCATTATGCGCGCTCCGACGGTTCGTGTGTTAGCCCCGGGTACGGTTTACGATCTATTTATTGCCGTGCCAGCCCCGACACACGAACGAACGAACGAACGAACGAACAAACGCGGTGGCTTACACCGCACTCGCTCTCCTATCCCAGCCACAGTGGGGACACTAGTCCTCTGCGCCCCACCTGGCTCTGTCACCCCTCCGATTCACCTGACTCCATACCGAAACATACCCTAAACTACCCCGTCGAAAAATTCGAACTTCGTTTAACCTCCCACGTAAATGTCGCCATGAAATTTCAAGACTATCGTGAAACATTGAACAAATTTTGTTAAACAAAGGTTAAACTGTATTTAAGTGTCGAACTATATCGTTAGGGAGAAATTGTTTCTTTATCTGCATTTTTTTCGAAAGAATGAATGTTTTTTAAATGAAACTATAGCATTTTTTTAACCTTTTTTAACTTCTGTCAAACACAATTTTTTGTAAAGTTCAAGGATAGGCCTGATATTTCGTGGGACACACTCTATAATTTGTATCGCGTATTGTTTATTCTTTTTCCGAGGATAGTGAAAGAAATTGCACGGTTCTCTATATCCGGGACCCAAGAAACACACCAGCGACCAATTGCGTACCTTTAAGCTACGATAAAGTCCGTTTAGTGTCACCGACGGATCACCAATTATTTACAAATTTCATCCTACCTAATATTGACTAGAGAGGGAATGTTCTTATCGCAGACCGTTAGATAGAATCTTCTATGATATAATGTTTAATATTAGCCTCCTCATCGTACGCGTATACACCATCGTAAAATGCCGTATTAATTATCCTCGTATTTAGTCCCGTTAAAAGGGACGTGCGCAAAAACTGGTGGACATCCAGTGGACATGGATCTAGTGACGGTACAATATGTTATCCTGGGCTTGAGACTATGTACGACTATCTAGAAGAGCTCGTGATATCTCGACGTAATGGAAAAACTTCGGCTTCCTCGCCGACGTCATAAAACAGAAACAGAACTAAAAACTCAACAAAGAGACTCCAAAAATACCTAATCGTATTCGATACTCACTGCCATCACTTTACTTAGCCTTACGCCTAAAATCCTTCGGGTACATCAACAATCTATTTTCAAAAACTGAACAGAGTTTCAAATCGACCAAAGACCTCTCCTCCCCAGAAGGAACGGTCTTCCTCAATTCTCGAAGGAGAAACCACTGGTCAGGATCGTCGGATCCTCGGACGTGGATTTCCGTCGTCATTTGCTGTGCACAGTGGTGGCTCGCCTCTTCACCTCGACCTGATCGACGATCGCGTCGCTCTCTTTGTCCTGGTGGGCGGTCATGTGCCTGGTCAAATGATGCCTCTCCCGAAAGCTCTCGTCGCACACGGGACATCGTAGCTTCTCCTCCCGTCTCCTTCTGGCAGCCTCCGCAGAGTTCTCATTTTTGTGGTGGGACCTCATATGGTAGACCAGATCGGACGTCATCCGGAAGGAGAGATTGCACTTGGCGCAGACGTTTTGGGCGGGCAGGGTGAGCGCAGCGAACGACGGGGGCAGAAGACCGGCCACCCCGGCGGCCGTCGCCAAGAATCTCGGTCTGGTTAGCGCGTCTGCCATCGGTGGGAAAACGGAGATCGGATTGTACGAGAGGTTCGGATAGACCGGCGACAGATCCGGTCGAAAGCTGGGCATCTTTGGGCTGGGTACTTTCGGCGGCTGAGCGATCTGCGGGATCTTCAAATTCTCCAGCAGACCTGGTTGGCCGGACTCTGGATTGACCAGGAAGGGGTACGGCATTTTTGTGGGGAACGGCGCGTATTTATACCCGGTGGGACCGGTCAGAGGCACCACAGGTGGACTGACGCTGCTTTGATAGCTGGCGCGATCGTCAGGGGAGATGGAGGATCTCGGTGATGTCTGTCCGTCGTCGTTGAAGCCGTTCCTCTGGCTGGCCAGGGTCACTTTCGTAAAAGCGCTGCGTGACTCGCCGTGTCTGTCACCTGGACAAGATATACCCGTGTCGTAGATCTTGTTGCAGGTCAGGCTAGATTCCACCGACTCTGGACAACCGGTTAATAGCGACTGATGAGCCGCGAACGCGGGTGGACTTGGTGTCTTTTGGAGACGCGAGCTGGAGACGTATCTTCGAGCGTCGTGGTCTGGAGAAAGACCTGATTCTCCGTGCATTGCATCACCCTTCTTCTGTCAGATCCTCCACTGTCGTTCTCGTAATTCTTGATCGTTAGATTCTGGGGCAATCTGTCCGGATCTATCATGTTCTCGGTTGAAATTTCTTCTCGGAGACGTTCTTTCCTGGCGGACACCATTCTCAGCTTCTCGTGTTGACGTCGCGCCAGATTCTCGTCCGGCGCCACGAGAAACGCCACGTCGAAGGAACGCTTGCTGGCGCGCTGAAGAGGATACGAGGCGTCGGGGGTGACTTCGCTGATGGACGAAGGACTGGACGACGTTAACGCCGTTGTCGCCGTCGTGGACGTCGCGGGGGCGGCACGGTCGATGCCACCCGTGCGATCTTCCATTGTCATCCTGCTCGTTCCGGATGATCGACCTGCTACAATGACGGCCGACGGTTAATTTAGCCGGGCACGGGAATATGATCGATGCGAATCGCGCCTGCACACCCGGACCAGGTGTCACAACTATGCTGTTTCGAGGGTAATTGGGTCAATGAGAATCGACGGCCGAGTGATTTTCATAGACGCGTTCGAATGCGCGCGGGTAGGCACGCGTAAACGTTAAATTCACGGACATACATGCTGATTTACGGAGAGACGCGGGAGACGGATACAATCTACAGTTTTCCACACCGCCGAACATCTATCGAATCACGATGTAGAATACCAGTCTTATAGATCTTCTTTAAATACACTAACTTAATGTTTCTTCTTTTATTTTGTCAAGACTATTATTCCAACCGTAATTTTAACATCAAACCACAACTTACCGAATCACACGTCCAACAAAAACTACCCCGTCCGCCAGTCACCGTAGGGGCTCCACGATCTTCACACCTGTCGTGGATTCAACGCGTCGGCTTGCGCTCTTCCATATCTCGTCGGTCAACAAAACGATTCTATCTCAAAAACACGAGATCGTTCGTCCACTGAATCCAGTCACAAAATATAAACACGGTGATCGAGAGACAGGCACAGTTCAGACAGGGCACAAAAGCGTGCATCGGCGGACCACGTTAAAATGAGGGAACCAGCCGCGCATCCCCAGTATTTAGGGGTAGAATATCCCATCGGTGGGTAGCTCGGCGTGGCAGGTGGAGGCGCAACGAGGGTGGCGCCGGCCAATGGGAACGGTTCCACGGTTAGACGGGGGTGGAGCGTACGAACGGGGTGAACATATTCGGTCGTCGGGACGCGTCTGCTAGTCCCGTCCAGACCACGCCTACATATTTCAGGTTCGACACATGTGCCTGGGATCGTCGTCGTCGTCGCCGTCGTCGTCGTCGTCGTCGACGACGCGGCCGTAGTCGTAGTCGTGGCAGTGTCGACTCTTTCCTCTCCTCTGCCCACTCGTGCACGTTGCGCAACGCGTTCCGCAGGATCACCGTTACCCCGTTATCACTTTTAGGACGCGCCAGGGGGTGGTGTGGGGGGTGCAGGCGATGGGGGCCCCACTACAGTTCGGGGCTGTAATTCAGCCTGACAAACGATCTTGAATATTTTTAACGCCCGCGCCAGCCTCCGCGCTCTTTCTTTTTTTTTTATGGTCGACCTCCTGGATATTGGACGTTCGGCAGACTCGTCGAATCCGTTGATGGACCTCTCCACCGGGTCCCGATTATCCCGCGAACGATCATCCACCCCCACCGTCTTCTCGAGCGTTTCTAAAACAGTCTTCCATTTGGGGAATCGTTCCCTTTTTTTCCTCGAGGATTGTTGTAACGAGAATACCGTCCATAAAGCGGTACAGGAGCTGAGGATTCTCGAAGATGAACTTTCGTTCTGGATGTTAATTGTGCCACGTAGTTTATCCAGGATTTCCTTGCTCGATCGTTTTTCGAGATGTTCGAGAAAACAGGTTACTGATCTGTTCTTCGTCACGCGTTACGTGGTGGTACACTGCGTATTACATTGGTGGCCACCTTACGGACACCTCGTTGCCGAAGAGAAATGAGGCGTGTTAAATCGACCGCGTTGGACAGAAGGTACCAGCAGACCGACCAGGGATCATCATTCTGCGGATTATCTTCCTGACGAATTCCCTCCCGTTTCTCCTCAGTTCGATAAATACGGTGATCTCTTCAGATGACATACGGCTCTTTTGGGTAGACGTTTCACGGCGATAACACGGATTTTGTTAACACTGTCTCCAATATTTCCAGATTGTTATATAAGTGTGTTATATTTTATTCACAAAATCTGGAACTGTATCGCGTTAAAACTCATCGGTCGGGGCTTCGAAAATGCTCGAAACTCGCCGTAATGTCGGGACATCGGACAGTAAAAATAAGGCAGAGAGAGAATCAGATTGGAATTTCAGTGGCGGGGCAATAATTCCCGATACACCGTAGAAGAAACGAAGGGAAAAAGGCTGGCCACCGCCGCGGAGAGCCAATAGGCGATCAATCATAAGCTGGCGATCTATTTTGCCGGGCATGTGAGAGCCGTCGAGTTCTTACGCCGGTTCCCCGGCGCGCTCTCGCCGGTCGAATACTCCACGGGGAACGCCTAGAGGTTAAAGGACATTAACTTCTTGATTGAGTCGGCAAAAACTTGTAATGACTTTTCGATTGGTCGCCCAGAGTGCCCAGCGGAGATTCGCGGAGGAACTGTTCCGCGAACGACGAAGAAAACGGTCCAGCGCGCCCTGGTGCTTCCAGAACGTTTTTTCAACGAGATTCCCAGAGATTATTTCCGATCGAAGGATTAAAGTGAGTTGAACACTGTTTATTGCAAGCATCTCGAGGCCCATCAAGACGTCACCCCTTTTCGTCGGTGTTTTAACGACGCGTCGGGAGACAAATTACGATGAGACCCGAACGAAAAGAAGCTTATCGATGGCCAGGGAATACAAATGAAATGATTTCGACCGTCAACGAACCAAATGATGATATCGAGTGGACGCAGCCGGAATCTAATCCTAATTCTCTGGTCGTAAAGTTAGGAGAGGGCCGTTCAGACGACGTTACGAGTGGCACGCGTCGCACGGCAGGATGCCCGCGGAACTGTTTCTGTATCGTGCGGCAACCATCCCTGGCTTTTGAACCATATTTATGGCCGATCATGGTATCCTGTCCCTGCGAACCTTGTCTGGCCGATATATATATACACACCGATCCCTAATTCTACTTTATGCCTCTTAGCTGGGCTACACCGGTCGGTCCCATCCTGGGTATCTTTCGTTGGCTATCCTTCAATCCCTTTTTTCAATAGCCCTGACAAATCCTAATAATGAAACAACATGAAAATATACAACGAAAGCACTGGGATACAACTAATAAATTTTGCACACGTGTTCAGGTATAAAAGTCTCAGTGCTATTAAATAGCGGAACGAAATGAACTAGTAGACTGCGAATTTTACGCATTTGTAGTACTTTTGATTCTCTAGAATTCATTATACTTAAGAGTTTGATCAATTTTGAACAAGTTTTCAGTTGCTTTGGAACCTGGTAGAATTATAAATTAATCCCCAAAAATCTGTACTTGCACAAACATCCTCAGTCTAACCATAAGCGAATGGATGTATAAAGAAATAGTGAGTGGTATGAATAATACGATTGCTAGATAAAACACCAGCAAGGGAGTACATCGACGTTGCACAAAAATGAAAAAGATTCATGGGAAGTCAAGCAGAAGAAGGTCGTGAGAATGTTCCAAGCTTAATTTCACCGGCATCTGTCTTTGTTATCCTACAGGCCACGGTCATGAAGGGGCAGTTTCGCGACGCCCAATTCGTCCAAGTTAAACGCACGGAGGGTCGCACAACCCGATCAGCACGTGGCCGACACGCGTGAGCTGTTAACACTGACACTGGATCCTACCGAGGGTAGTTAACACCGACAACCGAGCGTCCCGCGCCGTAGGGACACCTTGCAGAAAGGTTTCGGCTCGAGTGAACTCGATGAGCCCCCTCAACTGCATTGAATTATGCGAATATTTCTGCAAGATTGGTCAAATTAGCTCGCGTACAGAATGTATCCAATGTGTTTGACCCTCCAACTGTATTGAAGAAGACGTAATCTGACCAATACCGTTAGGGAACATGGTCCAGATATTTTTGACAATTTTCACCTGAATTGTCCAATCAAAGTCTACATGTAAGTTTAGTAACATAATACTATATATGTAAAGTTTGTTAAATAAAAGTTAAATGGTTGTTTCTAAATATTTTTAGAACACTTAAAATGGTATATTTGTTAACACAGAAATCCTGTCACTAGCAGGGTGTTAACATAAAAGTTTAGGAAACATGGCAATGAAACTCAATATTAGCTTGGGAGCAGCGCAGATTCGCTTTGGAAGCCGCAGTTTGCCCACAATTGTTCCAGTAAACTTGTCCACATACTCATTTTTTTGAAGATCAGTCGTAACAGGTATCATCCATATTAACACAGCAGGTAGACGCGAGGTTGCATCCGCTGAGTCTGCCCGAATGATAAATATGCAGCCGATGCAGTTGATGAGAGAAGGTCGTTTATCAATCACCCATTAACGCAGAGCCCCGGCGGTTCTCCCTGTGCAGCTTTACCAGCTCCGTCGAAAACCTGGTCGCTCCTGCCTCCATATTTCACGGAATCATCGCGATTTTCTCCCACCAGCGGTGGTTCCCCGCGCGCTCGATTTTCCATTAAAATCCGACGTCCACATTGGCCGAATACAAGCTCGAAGGAAATATTCCGGCGGGCACACGATAGGGACACGCTCACTCGACCAATGATGGAACTGTCGAACCTTGCTCTGGAACCGTACCCTTATATAATCCCGCAAAATTGGGTTCCAGTAATGCGATGGAAGTCTACGAATGCGCCCTGGGTTTGATCGAGCGATCGCTCTTGGTGTCAATGGAATTTCTAGTTTCTCTGAATGAATCGTGAAAAATACTATACTCGACGCCAAATAAGACCATAACTGCTAAATGACGAATTTCGGTCTTGTTTCATATTTCTCTCGGTTACCTTGATTACCAACGTCTCATACATCCAGTGACTGTGAAGTATAAACGTGTCAAACATAAGTATTCATGAATTACTTCATTATGTCATCCGATGTATGACAAATTGTATCGGCCACGTTGCAGAAAGCACCAAAAGGGGGAATAGGGGGTTCGAGAAAACTCTCGTGTACATTCCAGATGGTGTTCAGAACATTTTTATTGAAATTTTATTTAAATTAATATTTCTACTTAGATCATCTTGCCTATGACGTATACTTTTAATCATGGAAACGTTGAACGTGAATCACGACGACGACAGAGTCCTCCCAGGAATCTAATGAAAATACCTTCTTGTCGTATTCGAGAGATCGCGATTTGAAGATCTTTAGACCGTAACGAGACCGAGGGAAGCGTCT